AAATTTGGTGCGTCTTGTGGAGAGGTGCGTCTTATGGAGCGAAAAATACGGTATTGTGTCTCTCTGAAATTACTGCAGTTTGTTTTCAAAAGTTTCATCCACATCCTCTCCTTGATTGAACGGTTGTTTTCATTACCCTATCAAGTCACATTTACCTTCCTGAGCTAAGATTTCCAGTTCTTTTTGTTGGTTTCCCATACTTCGGGCATTCATATGTACAAATCATGGTCCCCAGTGGAGGAGACTGGACTCTTGGCCTGAAAGAGTTGAAAATCTACCTGTAGACTAAGGGAGGAACACCCAAGATGAAGATGCAAGAAGCTTTCTGGAGACCAAGAGCCTTCTGCTATTATTAGAAATCGCCAGCAGCCAGCCCCCCTCCCCAAAGTTTCTGCAGTTCTGGATGTAACTTCAGTTTCTAGCTATACCAGTGCAGATCATCCATGCTTATCCAGACATCCCAGAAGGAAATGGAACAGTTGACGTCATGTATGACATGTATGTGTCTCTTCTGCTTTTTCCTTTAGCTCAACAATCTCTTCCCAACTTTAATGAACCTCATTCCTGGACCTCACCACACAATAGAGAAAAACAAGCAAAAGACAGGAGATTTTATTTTGGAGGAGACGAAACAGCATAAGGACACACTTGATCCCAATGCTCCACGGGATTTCATTGATTGCTTTCTCATTAAAATGGAACAGGTGGGTAAAAACTGACAACTAATATAGTACTCCGAAACTGGAAGGGGTCCCTAAGGCCATTGATTCTAACCCCCTGCTCAAGGCAGGTGTTCAGATCAAAACAGGTCTGCCAGGTGGTTATCTAAACTTCTCTTCAATGTATCCAGCATTGAAGCACTCGCAATCTCTCAAGGTCATAGAATTGTCGTACGGTTGGGAGGGTTGCTCATTGATTCCATTGTTGTACTGCTCTAACAGTTAAGAAATAGTATTTCCTGATGGTCATTCTAAATTTGACTTCCTTTACCTTGAGCTCATTTTTACATATTCTGTGATCTGGGATGGTCTAGAAAAAATCCTGTACCTCCTGTGTATAAACTACCTCACAAGCCTTTCTCTCCCCTAAGTCTCCTTTTTTCAAGGGTAAACCTGCCCACTTCTTTCAGCCTTTCCTCATAAGGCTTGATTTCCAGCCCGCAGATCTGTATTTGTTTGTTTGTTTGTTTGTTTGGCTTTTATATCTTCCATCTACACGAATATACTCTGGGTGGTTTACAGTCCAAAAAATAAAGAAAAATAAAAAATAAAAAAAATAAAATTATCAATAAAAGGACTGTTGTTGCTTAGGCATTAAGTCATATCTTATTCTTCGTGACCCCATGGACCATCCTGTCTTCCACTGCCTCCCATAGTTGGGTCAAATTCATGTTGGTAGCTTTGATGACACTGTCCAACCATTTCGTCCTCTGTCATCCCCTTCTCCTCTTGCCTTCACACTTTTCCAACATCAAGGTCTTGTCCAGGGAGTCTTCTCTTCTCATGAGATGGCCAAAGTACTGGAGCCTCAGCTTCAGGATCTGTCCTTCCAGTGAGCACTCAGGGTTGATTTCCTTCAGAAAATGGATAGGTTTGTTCTCTTTGCAGTCCAGGGGACTCTCAAAAGCGTCCTCCAACACCACAATTCAAAAGCATCAATTCTTTGGCGGTCAGCCTTCTTTATGGTCCAGTTCTCACTTCTGTACATCGCTACTGGAAAAAACCATAGCTTTGACTATTCGGACTTTTGTTGGCAAGGTGATGTCTCTGCTTTTTAACATGCTGTCAAGATTTGTCATCGCTTTCCTCCCAAGAAGCAGGCGTCTGTGCGTCTGGAGTGTGCGTCTGTGACTTTATCTTGTCTCTCGCAGAGTAAAGAGCAGATAAGCGCACACAACAGCTTCTTCTTTCTAGCAGTATATTTACAAAATATATACAGGATATACATACATACAGCACTTCAGTATTCAGTATTCAAACCAGCAGCATGACATGCGGACATCAGTACACAGGAGAAGAGAAAGACTGTACAGAGTTCATTTCTTAAATACAATTCTGGCATCAGTCTGGTCCAATCCCGTCTAAGGTGACTTCATGCACACAGGTGTTGCAATCTTCATATTGCAGAGAATTGCATCAGCCACTTCCTGTCCCACATATAGGTTTCTCAGGAGACAGATAAAGTGGTCAGGCACTCCCATTTCTTTAAGGACTTGCCATAGTTGGTCCACACAGTCAAAGGCTTTTGCGTAGTCAGTGAAGCATAAGTAAATATTTTTCTGGAACTCTCTGGCTTTCTCCATAATCTAGCACATGTTAGCAATTTGGTCTCGAGTTCCTCTGCCTCTTCGGAATCCAGCTTGTACTTCTGGGAGTTCTCAGTCCACATACTGCTGAAGCCTGCCTTGGAGGATTTTGAGCATAACCTTGCTAGCCTGTGAAATGAGTGCAATTGTATGGGAGTTGTAGCATTCTTTGGCACTGCTCTAATTTGGGATTGGGATGTAGACTGATCTTTTCCAATCCCTCCAGCCACTGCTGAGTTTTCCAAACCTGCTGACATATTGAGTGTAGCGCTTTAACATCTTTTAAGATTTTAAATATTTCAACTGTGAAAAGACTAAAACAAGCCAAAAACTAGAGGAAAAATGAATTTAGTGGCAGGAGGTTGCCCTCCTCTGAAAGTGTTCCTTCTTGAAGTGCAGTATCCAGAACTGGACACAGTACTCAAGATAAGGCCTAACCACTGCCGAATTGAGGGCGACTAATACATCTCAGGATTTGGAGACTAAACTTCTATTAATGCATTCTAAAATCTCATTTGTCTGGATTTTTTTTTTCTGCAGCCACATAGCACTGTTAGCTTATATTCAAGTTTTGATCTACAACAATTCCAAGATCCTTCTCCCTTGAAGTCTTAATGACCCAAGCATCCCTCGTCTTGTAACTGTGCATTTGGTTTGTTCTTCCCTCTAGGTGTAGAACTTTGCGTTTATCCTTGTTAAATTTCTTTATGTTTTCAGCCCAGTGCTCAAGCCTCTTTCTTCCATTTTTTTGTTGGAGAAAGCAATAAGCCACAAAAGCTTGGGATTTCTTGGCAGAAGTTGTCCCCCAGCAAATATCAGAATAATTGGAATTTCCAGTTACTACTACACTGTGTCACTTTGAAATTCTTGCAATTTGTTTTTCAAAGGTTTAAACCACATGTTCTTCTTGATTGGGTGGTCAGTAGTAGACTCCAACTACCATGATCCTTTTGTTTTTTGGATCCAGTTATATTAAATGATGGGACAAGCAAGCTCATCCTCCTGTATTTCTATGCAAGAATATGGATTTTTCACATATCCTTCACCTCCACATCCACCTCCTTCTCATTTCATTTTGAAATTGCTGTATTCTAGTCATACATATGTGGACATCATGGTACTCAGTGATGGGGATAGGACAGGTTTCCGGACCTGAATGAGTTGACAGTCTATCGGTAGACTAAGGAAGGAAGACCAGAGAACATCTTGGAGACCAAGGGCCTCGTCTCGTTATTAGAAATCACCAGCCGCCAGGGACCCACAAAGTTTCTGCAGTTCAGGATGGAACCTCAGTTTCTAGCTACACCAGGGCCAATCCTCCATGCCTATCCAGGCATCCAGGAAAGAAAGGTAACTGTGGACGTCATGTATGACATGTATATCTCTCTTCTGCTTTTACCTTTAGCTCAGCAATTTCTTCCCAAATTTCATGAGTCTCATTCCTGGACCTCACCACGGAATGGCAAGAAACAAATAGCCGGTCAACCATTACGAGGCAATTATTGAAATTGATACTGAGCACCCTTGGAGTCGCAACTGTTTCTACCTACCTGTTACCTTTCCCATCCCTGGGATGTCCTTCTTCCTGAGACATCTTCAATGATCCCCCATCTAGCCCAGAATGCCCAGTGGCGAAGGTTGGTCTGCAAACTAGGGGACATCACCAAAACCTCCAAATTCAGACTAGCACTCTTGACATTAGGGGAAAAAACACCAGCACTATTGGTGAAACACACTTTACACGCAGAAATCAAACTTTTTCCTCTATCAGCATTGTTTGTGCTGGCAATTTTAGTATAGAAAAAGCAAAATCCTTTATAAACTATTTTATTGCCATTGTTTCTGGGGTTTTTAGGACTTATCTAAATAGGCCCAATTAGAGGTCTAATATGCCATACTCCCATCCAACTGGCATACAGACCTCAGGTGACCCTATTTGATCCAGTTCCTTCCGCTGTCAATATGCCACATCATGAGGTGGCTTAAGAAAAGAGCCACTTCAGGATACTGGCAAACTAAACCCTTCATCCTGGAAGTGGGAGGAGACAAGAAGGAGGAAGTAAGGGATTTTATTTTTCATTGACGTCTTAAAGTTCCCATGAAGAACCTGCCCATGGCCAAATCCATCACCAAGTGTTTGGCTTCAGCCCCTTCACAAAAGGAGAAATTGACTGCAGAATGAGTCTTGAAAGCTCACTTTGGTTTGTTTCCAGTGATTACAAACAAAGGAAATGAACCAAAATAGAGCAATCCTACTTACAACAAAAAAAGCCAGAAGCCCCTATCAGGAACCCAGGAAGGTAGGAATCATCTTGGGATGGCCTGTGGTTCGCTCCAGCTCTTACGTTATATGATTACCAGGAAAAGGAGTGAACCAACCCATTGTCACAGCAGAGCAAACTACAGGCCAAACCTTCCATTGACAGGTTATGTACACTTTTTCTTCCAGTTGGAATCAATTCTATTTTTTACGTTCTAACTACATTTTAGCCAGCACATCTAATTTAATGCCATTGATGGTCTTGTATGTTTCTCCAGGAAAAAAAGAATGGTGCATCAGAGTTCACCCCTGAAAACATGCTGGTCTCTGTGATTGATTTGTTTGAAGCTGGAACAGAAACAACCAGCACAACCCTAAGATATGGGCTCTTGGCTCTCCAGAAATACCCAGAGGTAGAAGGTAAAACAGACCCTTCAACTACCTGCCGGCAGCTCCACTCCATTCCCTCCCCTTAGTGGTCTCCTCTTTCAGGTTCTCCATGTCTCATCACAGCCCCATGGAATTCCTGTCTTGCTCCCTGGGTGATTCCAGGCTGAACTGTAGGGCAGGATTTTGAGCAGGGTGATTCCAGGCTGAACTGTATGGCAGGATTTTGAGTAAACATGGAAGTTAGCTTGGGTGTCAGTGGGTAAAGAAGGATAGTAAAAACGGAAGCGAAACCAGGAAGGATCCACCAGAACCACCACCAGAAAAAGAGGTGGGAACCGAGACGCTGTTGTCTTTCAGGCAAAAGGCTTTCTTCATGGGAGCTAACTGTCCAGAAATAATCTTCCAGAATACTCATAGAGAGTTCTGCTTCCAGGATTCAAAAGCAGAGAGCATGTATCTGTTTTCCCCTTCAATAAAAGTAGGCACCCAACTCCTCTGAAGAACACCTGTCATCTGAAATATGTTGGGCCATGAAGAAATAATGGCCTGCATCTCGGGGTGCAGCCTCCTTGTAGGGGGTGATCATGGAATAGAGCTGGAGAACAAAGACTAACCAGAAGGCTAACTGTCCAGAAATAATCTTCCAGAATACTCATAGAGAGTTCTGCTTCCAGGATTCAAAAGCAGAGAGCATGTATCTGTTTTCCCCTTCAATAAAAGTAGGCACCCAACTCCTCTGAAGAACACCTGTCACCTGAAATATGTTGGGCCATGAAGAAATAATGGCCGTCATCTCGGGGTGCAGCCTCTTTGATCAGGGAATAGAGCTGGAGAATGGAGACTTATCAGAAGAAGAAAAAAATTACATAAAATAGGCGAAGCCACCCAATCCATCATCCAGCCTGTAGGGCAATCAGCCACCAGGTCAGCCCTCCTGGCCAGATTTCAGGGCTTCCATGGCATGTCGGGGCACTGGTGCTGACCCTTTCCTATCCCTTTCCAGAGAAAGTCCATGAAGAGATTGACCGCGTGGTTGGCCGAGCCAGGGCGCCGTGCATAGCTGACCGTGGACAGATGCCTTACACAGACGCCGTCATCCACGAAATCCAGAGGTTCATCTCTCTCATCCCACTGGCTCTCCCCCACTCAGTGGCCAAAGACATCCCCTTCCGACAATTCGTCATCCCAAAGGTACCGGCTCTGCTTCTAGGGCAAAACAGGAGCTCCTGTGTGACCGAGGGGACTGATGTAGGCGCATGGATCTTGGCAGGGCTCGGGGCTGTGTTTCTGTCTTGCCAGGAGCCCAAAAGCTGTGCTTCTAAACTGCTTTAGAAGTTGCCAAAGAAATCAGTGTGCATATTAAAATTTGTTCAAAATGGTTGATATTTGTACAGGTTTTGAGGATAGATTTTAATTACCCGAGAAATGGGTTTAAATGTAAAATGTTGGAAGAATCTTGTAGTGACATCAGAATTCTTTTTATATATAAAATATACAGTAAAACATTTTTGTCAGTATGGGAGTACATGGTTTTCTTGGGGGGGACTTCATACCCATAGACCATGTGAAGGTGTCAAAGGAACTTTCCTGAGGAAGGATGAAGGAGGGGTATGTTGTTTTTTATTAATCTTCAATAATTTGAGAGGGTGATATGGGTTGGCTGGTAGGTCAACAGTGCTGGAGGGAACATAATGTTGTTTTGGGGGCTGCATTTTGCCCACCCTTGATTTAACCCATCTCTCAAAGGCAGTTGCATTCAATGAGCAATGAAGTATCCCTGAGACTCTCCATCTGTTTCTCTTTCCCTCCCTCCCTCCCTCTCCGCACCCATCTGTCCATCTGTCGCTAGCCACCTAAATCCTGATATGTCACCCATACACAGCCAGCACTTACCCCACCAGCTTCATTTGACGTTCCAGGAGCCGTGGCCTCCCTTCTCCTTGCAATGCTGCAAAATCTGCATGATTATAGTTTGGTCATAGGCATCCATACTTTGCAGAAGTTTGGAATCAGAATCAGACCTAATAGGAATGATTTCAATTTCACTGATTTTAAGAAGTCCACTCCTGTTTAAAATATTGGATTTCGGTGGAAAAGCCAAGAGGAACGAGAAGGAAAGGGAAAAGTGTTAAGAAGGGGGCTTAGAAACCTGGCTCCTGGTCGGGTGAAGGGAGGAGAAGCACAAGCTACATGAAAAGCATCTCAGCTCAAACACGGACAGCAAACGGCATAATCGGCTTCTTTTCCCTCTCCTCAGGGCACCACCATCTTCCCTGTCCTGACCTCTGTGCTGTACGACAGCAAAGAATTTCCAAACCCCACAGAATTTGACCCACAGCATTTCTTGAACAAAGATGGGACCTTCCGGAAGAGGGACTACTTCATGCCCTTCTCGGCAGGTAAAAGGGCCCATCTCCCCGTCCCCCAATTGTTCAGCTCCTTGGGGTCAACCTAACCTCTCACCTTTGGGGCAAGGAGGTGATGCCAGTGGGAGTCAATGTCAATGTCAAATCACTTCTGATTTATCCTGTAAAAGCTTGAGCCCTCCATTGAGGTCTCAACAGGAGCTGAAGACAAAAGCTATACATACATAAATGGAAACTGCATAAAGAGCTAATTGCACAAAATGATAACAGTGTCTGATTTCCAGCATTGACTTTGAAGGATGTCAAGCATTATGAACATCAGCCAATTCCCTCTGTGCTTGCTCTCTGCATGTGTGCAAAGTTGATGTTGCTCAACATCTCTCAGTGGAGACTAGATAGCCCTCTAGTACATTAGTTATTAAATGTTTAATTTTTAAAAAATTAGAAATGTACTGTATTTTCCATGTATAAGACTATACTTTGTCTAAAAATTTAGGGTGTCTTATACATGGTAGTAAGCTGAAGAGAGAAAAGCAGGTGTAGGGGAAAGCAGGGATCAAAGTGATCCTGCAGGTCTTTGATGTTTGCTTTCCCCTCTACTTACTAATTCCCATGGGGCTTAGCAGGTATAGGGGGAAAGGATCAAAGGGTTTTTTCTTAGACTTCCCCCCTCCTTTTTCTTAGATCCCTTTCCCCATCCTTTTGCTAAGCCTGCATAATTTGATCCCTTTCCCCTTACACTTGCTAAGCCCTACTTAGAGAATTTAATTTTGGGTTAGAAAAGGGGGTGTCTTATACATGGGGCATCTTATACATGGAAAAATACGGCATTTTGGAACTAAGGGCATCCAATGGGTCACTTAGGGTTCTTAAGCAATGAAACAATGCAGCACTATGCCACTTAGCAATAATTAATTTTTTAAAATGAGAAAATATGAGGTTGAAACAACATTAAATGCTACTAGATCAGCAATTTGAATCTACGTGATGGAATGAGCTCTGGTCACTTGTCCCAGCTTCTGCCCACCTCACTGTTCGAAAGCATGTAAATGCTAGTACATAAGTAGGCACCACCATGGTGGGAAGGTTGCGTTGGCCACATGATCACGGAAACTGTCTACAGACAAAACGCTGGCTCTACGGCTTTGAGAGCGGGGTATGGACTAGAGTTGGACAGGACTGGACATTTGTCAAGGGGAACCTTTACCTTTTACAATTTCTGTTGCAGGTAAAAGGATCTGTGCAGGGGAGGGCCTTGCCCGCATGGAGCTGTTCCTCTTTTTGGTCACCATCCTGCAGCACTTCAAACTGAAGCCCCTCAAGGATCCCAAGGACATTGACCTCAGTCCCCTCATGAGCAGCAATGGTAACGTCCCTCGGCCTTATCAACTCTGTGTTCTTCCTCGCTGAGGAGAAGGAGGACTCTGGCCCACCAGAAACCATCTGGCAGTGGGCGTTTTATTTCAGGCTGCCGACATTTTCTAGCCGGGTAGCAGAACTGTAAATTTATGAACACTGGAGAGCCTTTTACTTAGACAAAGATAATCTGCTTTCATAGAAAGGGGAGCTGGACATCAGAATATTAGCAATTGTTTCCTCCTGAAACCTGACATTTTGAATTAGTTCCCTCTTTCTTGCTCACCACAAACTTTGTTCTTCCTTAAATTTTTGTAATTATTTATTCATTTTGGAGTGGGTAGGGAAAGATCATAGGGAAGAGGGTTTGAAACTACATTCCTCCTTAAGAAGTCTCCAAACCACTGCTTCACCAAAGCTGCAGGACATTTGGGGGAAAAGAACTGTATTCAGCAAATGGAAGCCTGAAAATAAAATGAAACCATGTAAAAGGGGGGGGGGTATCTAGAATCCTTTTGGATTCTTACTGAAATCTGGAAAAGTGGCATACCAATTACAAATATGAATTACTGCAGTCCTTTAGCTATGCTTTATATGTTGAGGGTGTGTGTGTGTGGAATGCCCAAGTTACGCCTGTTTATCATATGGAGCTCTAGGGCAGGAGCCTATGACAGGACAGGTCGGGGCGGGGTCAAGAGAACAGTTGGAGACTGAGGGGAGTTAGAAAAGCATTTTGAAAGGTTAAGACAGAGATTGAAAAGTTGGTGTGTGTTAGAGAATAGATAAGAGATAAATGTAATGGAAAATGAATAGACAGTCGTATGATATTGTTACAGTGGTTAATGTAAATGAATACAAACAAGCAAATGTGTAATCCTAACCCATTTTAATGTTTGAACAATAAAAAAAATCTATGAGTTTACTTCTGTGATTTATCAATCAAACAATAAATAAACCTGTTATATTTGGCAGCCCGGGCCTAAGAAACATATTTGGTAGAATGTGGATAAAGATCCACTGGTGGCAACATGTAAAGGAAGTAAATAGTACATTGGGTCCAAAGGTGGACCTGTGTTTGAGTGAAAACAAACAGGGGACATTGGGGGAATGTGACAAAGTGGTGGCAAAGTAGTGAGATGTGAAGCGAATAAACTCCAGTGAGCCAAAGAAAAAAAGAAATTTTCTGAGTCTGAGGGACCTCTTAGTTGAGGGATGAGGAGAAGGAAACCCTAGAGCTCTTAGTGAATAGCTTGGGAGAGACTCCTGATTGCAGACCTTGGGGAAAGAGTGACAAGAAAAAGACTCTGAAGAGAATTATTCTTTGTTTAAAGTTTACTTCGTACTTAGAGTGAAAGACCAAGGGGCTAATTTTAGATCTGGGAAAGGAGTGCTGAGGGCACAAAGGTGGAAGCCAAGGTCAAAGATATAACTGAGGTGACTAAAACTAACTGAAGATTCAATAAAATAAAAATTTATGAGAAAAAGCTTCGTGTCTGGAGGCAGAAAGAAACAGTGTATCAGACCCAGGAACAGCGAGGCTGGGTGCCTAAAGAAACATAGTAGCAATCCATAGCTGCCAACAGAGAGCTACAAAGTAACTCTCTCTAACACAGAAAAGGAAGAAAGTATTTTTTAAACTGAGGCTTGATTGTCTGCCTCAGTAAAATCAGCCAACCTGTCCAAAGAAACACAAATAAACATGCCTTCTAAGCAAAGAAAAATAACTTAGCAATGGAGGTAGCAGAGGTTAAAAGTTTACCTCATGAAGAGGAGAGCCCTCTTGAAATAGATGAGCAAGATGAGGCTCAGGAGGCTGATACCACAAAAGGAGAAACTGGGTTAACCTTCCTAGAGTTGTAAAAGTGGAAATTGGAAAAAGAATTTCACTTGGTGGAATTAGAAATTAAAGTTAGGGCGGAAGCAGAAGCCAGACAGATGGAAATGAGAGTGAGAGCAAAAGAGATGGAGTATCAATTACAAATGAAACAATTAGAATTAACAGCCCAGAACAATAACAATACTAATTCAAATAATGAGGGGAATTTATCAAAAGTGGACTTAAAGAAATTTCCTCAATTTTGAAAGAGTGATTGCCCCGAAGCATTCCTTATTGCTTTTGATTGGGTGTGCTTGGATTTTAATGTAAAAGCAGAAGAACATATGGTTATGCTGAGGTCCCAGATAAGTGGAGAGTTAGCTGAGATTTATTCTCAAATGCCACTGGATCAAGCAAGATACTATGAGGCATTCAGAAAATTGGTTTTCTCGAGGTTTGGGATCAATGCTGAGCACCTCAGATGGAAATTTAGAGCATTGACTAAAAAGCTTGAGGAATCATATTCTCAACTGGTCAGATACTTGGAGAAGTGGTTAGACCAGGCAAATGTAGAATCATTAAAAGATATGCAAAATATTATTGGGCTAGAACAATTCTATTCAGTTCTACCTGGAGAACTGAGGTATTTGGTCAGGGACAAAAAGCCCAAAATTGTACAGCAGGCAAGTGAAGCTGCTGATTATATATCAGAAATAAAGAGCTCAAAATTTTCTGAGGTAAAACTTGGCGGTAAAAACTGGGACAAAAGAAAGAAAGAGCCCAAAGATTACCACAGAAACAATCAGGCTGCTGGAGGCCATTTTAGAGGAAAGCCCTCAGAGCAGAATCAACAGAGGTATAAAAGCTTTGAAGAAAAGGGAAACAACTCCCCATATTTTGAACAAAGAAACCATAAAACCTGTTATGAATGCAGAGAAAAGGGGCATTTCATTTCTCAGTGTCAGACCTCAAAGAATAAAGAGGTTTTTCAACAGAAAGGAGGGGGAAATCTGCTCAAGAAAGTGTATTGTGTACAACAACAGAGAAAAGACTGCTGAGTTAGAAATGGCACAGTAATTGCGAGAGCTGAGAGCCAGGAACAGCAACTGCATTTATCAAATATTGTATAGTGCTATTTCATTGAGAGTAACCAGGAGCTGATTCGTTGTTGTGGTGAAAACATTTACATAAATGATACTAAATATCTAGCTTTGAGAGACACATGCTCTCAGGTGACTTTGTGTCATCCTGATGTAATCCCTCAAGGCGATAGCATGAGAAATGAATACATAACTATAAAAGGGATTGGAACTGAATTAATTACTCTACCCATGGCTAAAGTACAAATGAAATATCAAGGGTGAAAAGGAATGTGGAAGGTAGCCATCACAAATCAAATTTCTGCTCCATGCTTGATTGGGCTGGATCTATCCGAGCATGTTAAGAGTGTTTTAGTAACTACTCACTCCCAAATAGAAAAAAAGGAAACATCTGAGGAAAAATGTGAGATCACTGATGAAATAATAGGAGAAAATGAAGCCAATGAAACAGCTGACATAGTGGTTATAAGGAATCCTCATGAAAAGGCTTTTAGCCAGGAACAAACACAGGATTCCATTTTACAACAATGCTTTAAGTTAGCCAGAGGAGGAAAGATTCTGTGTCGAGAAAGCGTTGTTATATAGCGGTTGGAAGCTGCCTAGAGTGGTCATTGACTAGATAGGCGGGATATAAATAAATAAATAAATAAATAAATAAATAAATAAATAGATAGATAGATAGATAGATAGATAGATAGATAGATAGATAGATAGATAGATAGATAGAT